TAACTCCATCTTTACCCAGGAGGCAGCAGAGTGGAGGGACTGAAACCAAACCGCTGAGGTGTAAGTCCTAGCTCTACTACCTGCTAGGCTAGTGACTTGGGATATTACTTACCCTCTGTGTCTGCTTCCTCATCTGTACAGAGGACATACAACACTGTCTACCACATTGTGTTTTACACAATGAAATAATTAAGACAAAATGAAATAATACATATAAAGTGTTGGGAACATGGCCCGTAGTTAGTGACCATTTTGAATACAGTTATCCTCCGTTGCCATCAAGTCCATTCTGACTCACAGCGCCCCTTGAGGACAGAGTAGAACTACCCTATATTGTTTCCAAGGATGTCAATCTTTATAGAAGCAAAGCTCAGACCAAACCCACCACCGCTGAGTCTATTCCAACTCACAGAGCCCCTAGGGGACAGAGTAAAACTGCTCCACAGGGTTTCCAAGGCTGTCAATCTTTACAGAAGTGGACTGCGTCATCTTTCTCCTACAGAGCAGCAGGTGGGTTTGAAGAGCCGGCCTTCTGGTTAGCAGCTGATTGTTTTACCACTGTGCCACCAGGGCTTCTATAAAGGTAGTCCAGTATTGTATATTGTTACATGAAGCCATGCCAGATAAGATGGCAGAGACATCTCATGTGTAAAATACAGTTCAAAACCACATTGAGAGAGAGGTCTGGAAAGATGTCTGCGGTACACTGTCAGAAAGACAAAGCTTGACAGCACCAGACTTGTACCAATCCCGGTAACAGGCTGTGGATGCTCAGGTTTGGGCAACATCACTAGACACTGAGGATGTGGAGAACATGAGGTTTTACCATGGATACAAAACGAATTCAACAAAAGGATAAAGAACAAACAGAAAGGCAACTGAGAGGACAATCAAGATAGCTCTGTAGCTGACAGGCCATGCCAGGAGGGGAGGAGGAAACCGCCAATCAAGATGGCTCTGTAGCTGACAGGCTGAAGCACGCCAGGAGTGGAGGAGGGAATTTTAAGGCTGGGAAGAATGAGCGCTCCTTTCTGGAAGGTGAACGCCTTTGCACAACCAGAGTGAAAATAGGCCTGGATTTCCCATGTGTCAGGAAGATGGGAAGAAAAGTGGGGCACGAGTGCCACACAGTAGCCCAAGCTGTCCAAATGATGGCTTTCAGCTGTTCATTGACTCAACGAATATCTAAGTATCTGCTGTGTGCCAGAACTATCCAGTTGAATAAATAATTAGGAGGAAACTCGGGTTAAGGGCTGTGCCCTTTCGGAGGTAGAGACTGAGCTAGAAAGGCAGGTGTGGTGGAATCACCACATAAAATGGATACAAATAACAAAGGGAAGTTCTCACCCACATGGGTGGCCTAGGAAGGCTTCCCCGATGAAGTGCTGTTTGTAACCGACATGAAGAAGCAGTGTTTGTGGGCCAAGTGCATGGTGGGAAGGCCCTGTGGCAAGTAGGAAAAGAGGAAGTGAAAAAAGTTCAGAGTGGTGCAAGGTGAAAGGTGATGAGGTAAGCATATTGCAGACCAGGTAACGCCACACGTCACGTCAAAGAGTTTGCTTTTTACCCTGAGAGCTACAGGGAATCATGAAACAATTTTAAGGAAAGGCAAGGGCATAGAGCCCATGGTCAAACCTGGCTTTAGCATGGAGAATGGACTGAGGGAAATCAGGATAAAAGGAGGCCTAGGTGGAAAGTGAAGGCTGAATCCGAGGTGCCAGATGACAGCTGCATCGTGTAGGGAGGACACAGTGAATTAGAGAAGGGGACAGATTTGAGAGGCATGTAAGAGGTAAAAACAGGGGGTGAGGCCAGGGAGGTACCAAGGAAGAGTGCAGAACTTTGGGCTTGGGTTACTAACCAGTGCAATTTACCAAGAGAGGAAAAAGTAAAAGTGTGTCAGAACCTGTGACTAGTGGAGAAAATTTTTATGATCTTCTTTAGGTCAGGGGAGTCCACGGTATCTTAGAAACATCCAGCTACAAAAGGCAAAAAGGCAATCGAGTTTGAGACTTCAAGGAGAGATCAGGTCTGGGGAAACACATTTCAGTGTCCACAAAGTAAGAAAGGTAACTGAAGACAAAGGTGCAGACAAAGCCAAGGGGACCAGAGAGTCAGAAGAAAAAAGGACTTGGGATGGTTTTTAGACATTTCAAAACTGAAAGGGTGGCCAGAGGTGGCTAACCAAAAAAAACCCAAACTCGCTGCCATCAAGTAGGTTCCAACTCACAGCAACCCCTCCTTGGGTTTCTGAGGTGGTATCTCTACGGAAGTAGATTGCCCAACCTTCCTTCTGAGGAGTGGTTGGTGGGTTTGAACCACCAGCCTTCTGGTTAGCAGTCAAATGCCTTAGTTGCTACACCACCAGAGCTCCTAACAGAGGTGGCTAGAGAACCAGAATTAAAACAAGCAAACAAGAACAAAAACAAACTCCCATGGCTCACCTTTCAACCAAACGAAAGACAGGCGTATAAGGTGAACGATAACACGAGGGAGGGCCACACTCCTTAGAACCACCAACCCTCCGAGATCAAAAGGGCAGCCCCCACCCAGAGAGAAAGCTCAGAAGGCAGGAAGGGATAGGAAAGAAAGAGAAAGGAGAACAGAAATAGGGAGGAAGAGGCAAGAGAGCTGTTATAAGGTGGGGACTGGAATCGATGGCAAAAAACACAATACATGTGAATTGTTGAACGGAGAACCAATTTGCTCTATAAACTTTCACCCAAATCACAAATAAAAAAAGAAAGAAAGAAAAAAACAAAAGCAGAGAAAAGAGACCACAAGGAGTGCTACTGCTCCAAGAAGCCAAGGAATTACAATGCTTCAAGGACAGAATGGCCAATAGAGTCAAGTTCAGCTGACAACCTCAGAAGACAAAGACAAAGTTACACCGTCAAGGGAATCACTGTCATCTTGGCAAGAAGAGCTCTGAGGGTGGCCCAGGGCAGCTAGAAGGGCCACAGGGCAGAGGAGAGGTTTGGAAGGTGACAGCAACAGAGCAAGAGGAAAAGGTGAGGTGGAAACACCACACAGAAAGAAAATAGCCCCAGTAACTCCTCGGTTAAGAGCAAAGGAGGAGGGGAAAACCAAAGAAGTGAACGTTGGAGTGGCCCACGGAAATGTAGGTAAGATCACGACGGTGGTGCCTGTCACTCAAGCGGAAGTGACAAAGCATCTCAGGAAGGGTGAGAGCGACTGAAGCACATGGGAGAAGAGCAGCCCACAGGCAGCAGCGACATCAGAAGCCGGGAAGCTCTAGACAGGAGAAGGCGGTGCCTGCCTTAGTGGGATTCCAGGGATCAACTACAGACAATGCGAGAAGGGGTCCTTCACAAGTGTACGTGTGAGGCCTTGTATCTGAAAGGAGGGACACGGGACAGAACTAGGAAGAGCAAGAGTGGCGACACATGCTGAGGGAGAGAACACAGATACAAAAGCTTGAAGGCTTAAGAGGAGACGTAGTGATGAAGACATCTGCAAATGGGAGAGCACATAAGAAAACCACGTCACCGCTGACGCAGGCAGGGCTGGGAGGCGGCACGCTCCCTTTAGACTTCAAAGAGCTGAAGACCCATCAGGGAGAAGGACATCTGAAGGTGGCTCTTGTTTGGCACCCTTACTGAGTTGTGTTTGGCTGTTTTCAGAGGTCTGGACTTCTGCAAGCACCTTTGTCAACCACCAACCCCTTATAAGAAAACGGATCTTACTGCCACTGTCCTTCAGCTGCTAGGTTTCCAAGGACTCACCTGGACAGCTCCTTCTTGGTGATGCTCTCTCCTCCATCCGGGTGTCCCCACCTTGTTCCAACTTAAAGATCACATCTGGCTTGGGGCACTGACACCCTGTGTGTGTGGGAAACGACACAGTAATGGTGGAATTTGTTTTGCTAAACTCTTTAAAATGCACAGACTCGTTAATCCTAGGAGGCAGATTCCCAAGGACAAGGGAAGCAGAGTGGGTAGGAACTTGCTTAAAGTCATCCAGCAGGAAAGAGCTGGGTCAGGAAGTTAGGCCAGATAAAGTAAACCACTGGGACCACGCGTCTGACTGCCTCATAGCACTGCTGCCCAGGAGCCAAAACAGGCTGTCCATTACCAATTTACTAGAGACCCTTCAACTGTGGGCCATGAAAAATGCCTATGAGCAAAAAGATTAAAAATCTCTAACCCTCAAAATTCAAGGATAGTATCACTAAGCCTCCTAAGGGCGCTGTCCCAGCTTCCCACTAGTAACACACGAAAGGCCTCCAGCGGGCCGACCTTGGAGTACGGGGGTGCAACCCTTACCCACAGACAGCAGGTTCCTATAGGTCTCCAGCATCACATCTCTGTAGAGGGCCCTCTGAGCTGGGCCCAGCTGCTCCCACTCCTTCTGATTGAATCTTACAGCCACATCCTTGAACGTGACTGAGACCTGCAACGACATAGTCTTCAGTCTCAAGTTATCCACTTTTAATTGTGCAGAAATGAATTATTATAAACACTGAAGTCTACAGTTTTTAGTTTAAAGTACAGCTGAAGCCAGAGGCCACAAGTTCCAATAATGGGAGCAACTGTTTTTCGGCGCCATCAATTTGATTTTGACTCACAATGACCCAACATGACAGAGTTCGACTGCCTCAATAGGGTTTTCTAGGCTATAATTTTCACAGGTGAAGATGACCTGGTCTCTCTCCCATGGAGCCACTGAATGGGTTTGAACTGCCAACTTTTCAGTTAGTAGCCGAGTGCTTAATCACTGTGCCGGTCCTTTGGGAACAATTCAACAATGAGAAATTTTGACAAATGTGACATCCAAATACACATCACTGATATGGCTGTTACATCTTAGACATCATGGCGAACATGGAGAATAGTTCAAGTCACACACTCGAAGCCACATGGAATCCCTATAAACCATGCTTGACTTGATGGCACCACCCCACCGACACAGCTGTTTGTGTAGGCATCTGTAGCCACAGGCTCAGCGTGCATGAATACAGGGAGGGTGTGTGCCAAAGAGGCAGGGAGGCTGCATCTTCTGACCTCCTCTAACCCCACGAGAGTAAGACAGAATCACCATCAGTAGCCCAAGGCCTATTCCTGAGGCCCAGACATGCTGTCTCCTTCCAGCCCTTTCACCAACCCTGGCACCAACCATTCCTCCCACAGCACCCACCACCTCTCTGCTGGGTTCAATAATTTGCTGCAATGGCCACACAGAACTCACAGATCATGGGGTTTATTAGGGAAGCAACAGGTTACAACTCAAGTTCAGCAGTCAGAGAGACTCCTTCTGCCTCTAGGAGGGCTCTTTTTGAGCCTGGCAGAGTGGCCAAACTAACCAATTCCAACATCAGAACTCTATACACCTGAGAGAGAACTTCCCAGAAAATTGCTTTGTGCCACTCGCAACAGAAATACCCCAGGTGAATAACTTTAACAATCAGGAACTACTCAGCTGCTCATGGCAAATTCCACCATGGAGTTTACAAAGATGGCTAGAAAAGCCATACCAGGTAATTTACTACACCACAGGCCACCCCTGGCTTTTCTAGCCATTATTCTTTTATACTTCAAAAATTAACCTCTCTTTCACCATCAGGTAAAGAATAACCACACCCATGAAAGCATGTAAGACAGCCACTTCATGCCTTTATCTCCCCCGATTTTTGATAGCCAATTTCTAATTTGCCCATCCCTATCAAACTCTGAGGAGACAAGCATGGTCCTTTCTCTCTGAAGAAGCTTCTGTTCTGCTTGGAAACTTCAGGCATCTGCATCCATAAACAAGCAAAGTCCAGCCTAGCACAAGCCATCCAACTGCAGCAACCTAACACCAGCTCAGTGCCAAACATCTTCCTCTTCATTTGGTCGGGTTCAGGTCAGCTCAGCCCTAGCCATCCCAGCTAGGGTACCTGCTGCCAAGTTTGGGAGTCACACTCTTCCCTTCACTTCAGACCAGTCAGCACCTTCTCTCACATCCTCAGCCCTCAGGGACTATTTCAATGCCCATAGGCTCACAACTCCTTGCACTTCAGACCAGCCAGCCCTTCCTCTCATTCCCCAGCCTCCATGGCCTAGGTCAAAGAGTACCAAACTCAGCCCGTTTCTTCTTTGCTGCACTTTCCCCTTTTCCACTCAAGTGGACCCAGGTGGTCACAAGCAAACAGCATACAAGCCTACAACTCGCTGGTTTCCTTTAACTTTCAGTCCTGGAAGGGGTTTCTCTCAAAGACCATGACTTTCCTGCCTGGATGCACCCAAAGCTTAACTGCTTGCTCGAAATTCAAAAAGCCAAACAGTAGGAGTTCCGGCAAGATGGCGGACTAGGCAGAAGGATTGCACAGACCCTCTTCAACAAAGAAAAGGGAAACCAATTAACACAGACACAGAAGATA